GCTATTTTAAAGGTTGACACTCCCCATTCTTTGGTGTGAAAATAGGACTGACTTATAAAACATCAGCTTCTTTTATAAAAACACCAGCTTCTCTATACCGATGGAAATAACAGGACAGAATTCATGGTTTACAAGTGGTGTGATTTTGTACCTTGTTTTTATAAATCCTAGCAGTTTTACTGATTTGACATTTAAATTAAAATGGAATTAAAACCAAAGAATTTCTAAAAAGAAGTCCCTTAATATTCTACATAGTTTGTATCTTCTACCACCAGGTACACTTCATGATTCTTTTTAAAATACCACTAATATATACATATTTAAGTTCTGCTTAATTAAAATTACTCATTCAAATTAAAGACTTTTTCTGTGAACTCTAATGCTTTCAAAGTATAAAATTTTTAACTAGCTGATACTTTCCTCAACAGAATCTTGAATCTTATAGGATTGAACTTGTAACAAAAAGGCTTTCTACAGGATTTAAGCCTCTCAGGCTAAATGCATATAAAATAATCTGACAGGGGTGCACCTGGGTTGCTTAGTCAGTTAAACGTCTGACTCTTGATATCGGCTCAGGTTATGATCTCAAGGTTGTGAGACCAAGCCCTGCCATCAGGTTCCATTCGCAGCGCAGTCTGCTTGAGATTCTCTCTAAATAAACAGAATCTTAAAAAAAAAAAAAAAAAACTGACATTATCTGTAACACTAAGCACTGCTCTTTGCACTTTAAATATACAGGTACGTAATTCTTTCCAAACCCTTGGTGTCAGATGTATTTCTACAATTCAGAATTTTGGATTTTAGAATACAGATATATCATTTATTTTTTTAACGTCAGTAGGATCTGTGCTAGCATTCTGTAATTAAACATATTAATACTTCTGAGGCAAAATATGATTTCATACTCTTAAGTTCACACACAAATTTAGTTTTTTCTGGATTAAAATAAACAATTCATTTAACTCCTAACAGCTCATGAGGTGGATATTATTATTATCCTAAGAATTTGATCAGCATGATGTGCCAGTCTTCTTACACCTGCAACAGTTGTTAAGGGCATCTTGTTTCTCTGTAATTACCCGGATTTAAAAAAAAAAAAAAAACAACACAGCACCTTCAACACAAATCAAGGTAACTTGCTTATACTACCTTCTTTAAGAAGCAAGAGATTTGGATTCCTAGTAAGTTTCCTACTTAGGAAACTGATAATATTCTGACATTTACAAATATACCTTTCCGGGGGGGTACCTGGGTGGCTCAGTTGGCTGAGCATCCAAACGTGATTTTGGCTCAGGTCATGATCTTGGGGTTGTGGAAATGAGCCCCGCGTCAGGCTCTGTGCTGGGCATGGAGCTGGCCTGGGATTCTCTCTCTCCCTCTGCCACTCCCCATTACACACTTGCTCTCAGAAAGAAAAGAAAAGAAGAAAAGGAAGACAGAAAGACAAAGACAGAAAATACCTTCCCAGCCACATACAAGCAGAATTAAATAATTCAACATACACATTTTCAGCTTCATTGTCAGATAGGTAGTTAATAAAAATCACTCATTGTACACCCAACTCATAAACCTCAAGAGGGAGTTACAACATGGCACTGGAGTCTGACAGGCCTGGGTTCAAATCCCTACTGCATCACTTATCAGTGGAGTAAATTTGGGCAAAGAACTTAACTTTGGCCTCATTTTTCTAATCTGTAATAAGATGCCATCACTACTTCACAAGGCTGTTATATATGAGGTAGTGTATATATCGCACTTAGTGACACCTGGCCCATAAAATGTACTAGTACAGAACTGCTACCACTGTTACTGCCCTAATGGATTAGCAATGCATAGGATTTTAGCTTGATTTGGGGGGCAAGTTTATTGAGGTAGGAAGAAAGGCTCAGAGTTAACTTCAGAAGCAAATCACAAGGATGGTTCCAAACAGTAACATCTGTGAGTAAATCAGAATTTCCAATTTACCCACAAGTTTATTTCCAAAATCAAATATCTTGGTTTAAAATGAACCTACAATAGAATATGCATAATTGGAGACAACGGAAACCAGATCAATGTTGATGATCTCTCATTTAGAACTACTTCTTTCTGGCACAGACACCATTATTTTGTCCTTTTAAGCTTTTATTATCTCCTCTCCTTCGTTTCTCCGAGCCAGAGATAACCAAAACCCATATTCTTATGAGACTATATAAAAACAAGTATGAATGTCTAAAGGTAAACTTCTTTAGAGGTGGTTAAAAAGTAAAGTAGCTCTCATAACCACCCACCCACCCAGAAATTTTCTGAGTATTTTTGGAAATGTCAGTAATAGCTACAAGTCAGAGAAATACACACTAATTTGGACAAGGAAGATCCCAATACAATTAAAGTTCATTAGGCAGATCAGATGGTAAATTAATAGGCAATACTGCTATGAATCAGTGAGAGATCTCAGAGATCAATGACCTATTCTGATATGTAGATAACTGGGGAAGGAGAAAAGGAAAGTAAAATGGGTAAGGATAGCCAAACAAATAAAGTTCTGAACTAAATTAAAATCTCTACCTATTTATATTAATGTATTGACACACCCCCACTTTAAATATTTGAAATTCATAAAATTTATAGATATAAATTTATAAATGTAAGAATTCAATTTTCTCCCTTGTTCTAAATAGCCTCAGGGAGACAATAATCATTCAATGTTCTGAAGTTAGTGACTATCACAAATCTAAGAGATTAACTTTAAAAATGTAGTTATCAATGCAAACCCTCCTTTCTCTCCATTACATATAAAGACAGAGAAAACCAATTATTTTTTAAAGTGGCCTGTAAATGCCAATGCTGAAGACTGAACTTGGTTATAGCTGGCAACCAACTCTGAATGGGTTAGGACACATGACAGAAAATTATCAAAATTGACCCTGTACAGCCATCTAAAGAGGTTACTTGATAGAAGAGCTCAAAGAAGTAGATTATCCTGTTCAAAATTCTTTGATGATAGTGTGAGAATTGTGGGAAGTCATCAAGGTGCAGATGATTACAAAAATCAGGAGAATAGATGAAAGAGCTAAGAAAAAAACATATTCCAAGACTAAACCTTAAAAAGGAAAATAAGAAATACTAGAAGAAAAAAAATGTACCTTTTGAAGAAACAAAAGGTTAACCAGAACATTAAGAAAACCAAAATTTAAGAACTGAAAATGGAAGCCTAGAGAGAGCAATTAATAGCTGAGAATATAGAGCGTAAGGATAAAGAGGCTCTTAATTGAAATGATGGGTTTGTTGGCTTTTTGTTTAACTTTCTGCAGGCTAAAAATTCTCAGTATCTAGAAGGGTGAAAGAGAAGCAGTACTTCAGAGTGGTATTTTAGGGCAGCAGTCTAACCTACTTCTCCTAAGTCCCCTCTTTACCCATAAATCTGTTGTACTTAGACCAGGTCCATTTATAGTCATGTATATTAGGAACTTCATTCAGCTCAGCAAAATCCTGAATCCCAAACATTAAGCAAATCTAGCCAAGAGATAAGCATACTTTAGATATAACGTATCCTTGTAAAGTACAAGCAAAACTAGTACTAGAATTTTTTTTTAAATCAACTTCTATTACAATAGTGTCATTCCTAAGAAAGAAAAAAGCTGCTCTTAAGCAACAAAAATTTTCTTATTTAGAACCATGGACTTTTAATTTTAACTCTAAGGCCCTAAAGATTATTTACAAATAAAGGAACTAAGACATAGAAATGCTAAACCTGAAGATTATAAAGCTAATTACTGGCAGAGATTTGCTGAAGCTAGGATTCCTGTCTCTGAGGAAGTGCTGTATGCCCAACTTATCGTATCTGTAGCATTGGCCTCCCTACCCCCCTTTAGGATTAATGGTACTGAGAAACTGTGACATACAGAATACTAAAACTACTATCTAATTTCCTTTAGGAGAAAATTTCAGAAATTCACACAAGCAAGAAATTAATTTTGCCTTTTCCTTCAGTGCTGAAGAACCAAAAAAGTAGCCTGTAGTCTTAAGTGGGCAAAAGGACAAATGAAAACTCCCAGGTGCATTAACAGGCTGTAAGAGGTTTGGGTAAAGTCAGATATCACCGCACCACCATCTTCCTCAGGAACCCTGCTACATTTCAAGTCAAATGACTAGAATGAAGGGACTGAATTCTCACTCTTTGGGAGGCTGAACCAATGGCTGATTCACCTCTGATTCACCTTATGCTCAGCTATAAGGGTACAGGAATGCGTTGCCACACTGAAACCTAACAGACATCAACCTCAACAATTCAACAATTATGATCAAAAAGCAAAGTCAGACCTACAGGTTATCAATGGCCTATACTTTGTAACAGCTTAGACTGCAAAGAATTTAATCATAAAACACTATTTTTCTGTCTCAAGACTGTATTTATAATGAGTTCAGCAATCAGCCATTCCATAATTCTTTCATGAATGTTAAGTTTCTCTCTGCTAGATTATAAACTCTTTGAAGTTAATGATCATGTCTTTACTTTTTGTATTCCCATGGTATCTATTTAGTCTAGAAATAGAGTACATACTAAATATATACCTATTAAATTACCCTCTCAGCAGCTAGTCTAAACCACTGAAACCAAAGTAATCATTGGGATGTGAGAAGAGAAATATTCTAAGAAAGAAAAAATTACAGAAAAACAAAAACAAAACAAAACCTCAAAACAAACCACCAGTAATTTCAAGCCTCGTGATGTGGGGCCCCCCCCCAAAAAATCAACAACAAAAAAACCCCAGCAAGAAGCAGTGTTGGGCTTTTCTAAATCACTCTTTGGCCCAATTTCACAGATTAGCCTTCAGTATGGATAAATCTGCAGCATGTTAAACTCAGTTGTCTGTTTTATACAGGAATTTGGAAGGTAAGGACCAAAATCTCAGTGTAACTACAAATATTTCCCATAAAAATAACCAAATAAGAATTCCCTGTTATAATTTCTCAAAGTTCTCATTACAAAACTTAAGAAAAAGGTAAATAAACCAAACTTCTTCATAGAAAAATTGTATTTACAACTCCATCCAAAAGCAGTTTTTAAAAGCAAACAATGTAACACGGAAGGTGAAAAAAAATCTATGCTCACCCAAAACTGCCAAATCTAATAAATTATTAACAGAATACTCCATCAAAAATAAGGCAATAACCCAAGATATCCCACTGATGATTCTTCCACTTCCATAACTAGGTAGAACTAATCTATCTAGTAGCAAATGATACTTCATTCCATTTCAGCATGTCTGAAATCTTTAAGGACAAAAGTGTTAAAATATGATCTTAGTTCTTCATTAGACTCTTCGAACACTTGGAAGGAAAATAATTTCTAAAGCACAAAGAGGTAAAGAGGTATAACCTTTCAAAAAGATACTCAGAGTTCAAAATTCAAGAATGCGATATTAATACACAATAAGCATAGGTGAATATATGCAATACAGTGATAGCAAATTAATTTATTTAGTACTTTTTCCATTCCATATCATCAGGAGGATTGATTTCAACTTTCCTTTTACCTACATCAGACCAGTTGGTACTCAAAACTGTACCACCAGACTCCATCTGCAATAAGAAATAAAAATAGATTAATCCCTGGACCATATAATCAAAGCAGAGTATTTTTTTAAAAATGTTCCAAGCATAGTGTTCTAAATATAGCCTATGTTTGGCTCAATATAAACACAAGATATTTTGATTTAATTTTGGGCTTTTCAAATAAGTTAGGTAGAAGGCATCATGTTCATACAGTCATATAAAGCACATCTCCCTTGGCTAATCAGCATTGAGGTAAATGTGGAAAATCTACCTTCTGATGAAAATAAAACTGGCTCCCCAAGAAAATAATAATCTCTTTTGTTAAAGACAGTAAAGACCAGACAAAGTAAACTCTTTCTATACTAGTTGGACAAAACTTTTAAGATCCCCTTCGTAATGCTCTGTGACAAATATATACAAGGGAATGCTGGAATTTTTTTCAAATCAATGTGCATACACACAAGTACATAAAATCAGTACCTCAGTAAAGAACTGATTATCTATTTACCATCTATAGAATATACCACCCGCCAAAAACCCTAGCACATTCATAAGTACATTCTAAAAAAACCTCTGGATATTTGTTATCTTAAAGAAATTAACTGACTTGGATCACAGCAAAAAACAGTGTGAATTATTCAGATCTAAACATTTTTACATGATCAGCTGTGCTGCTGGCATATGTATATAGTTACAAACCCGACTATTACACTGGAACCTCAATATAACCTCACGCCCCACACTCCCTGTCAAGCTCCCTTACATGGGTTGCTTTGCATGGAATGTTCTTTGCCACCAGTTTATTTCCCCCCCTATTCTTTAGTTATCCTCTAAACATAACATTTCACCATTTCTCTGTGGCTTCCTTTGACCCTAATCAGGACTCTACCTTTGCAGAATTTGTGTTCTGTATGAGCATAATTACCATTAATATGTATCACACTACACTGTTAGAATTTTAAGGGTCTGCTTTCTTTTATATGCTTCGTACCCTTAGTTCCAACTAAAGCTGAGAGCTCCTACAAGGCAAGGAACATATTTTACTAACACTTATATCCTAGATCTAAGCCACAACGGATGGGCACATGATAGACTTCAAATAAAATACTGATATGAATGTTTGTAAATGTAGTATGTAGAAGCATGTGGGAATAGACCTATTCTTACTTGAATGAAACTATACAGCATATAATATGTTTTAAGTAACACCTTGTTTCATTAAGATATAAGTACATGTAAACATACGTTAGCAGCATATAGCATGAGCCTTGTGCTTACCTCACTGAACTACAGTGTGTATAAACTGTCATTCAAGTAACAAATCTTCTCTCATTAATATAAACCCACTAACATCCTAAACCCCTAACCCCAATCCTAATGTCATCAAGCCCTCTGGAGAGTTCTCCAAATTGCAGGATACCAGGCATATACCCTCAACCCTGGCCCTAACCCTAACCTAATCCTAACCCACATCTGAGAAGAAAAAAAGAAAAAAGAAGTGGTATACATATACAATGGAATATTATACACACACACACACACACACAAATCCTGCCATTAGCAATGACATGGATGGAGCTAGAGGGTATTATGCTAACTGAAATGTCAGTCAGAGACAGACACCAAGTGATTTCACTCATATGTGGAATTTAAGAAACAAAGGAGCAAAGAGAGAGAGGCAAACCAAGAAATGGATCCTTAACTATAAAGAACAAACTGACAGTTACCAGAGGGGAGGTGGATGGGGGCATGGGTTAAATAGGGGTAAGGATTAAGGAGTATACTTGTGATGAGTACCGGGTGATGTATGGAAGTGCTCAATCACTATTTTGTACCCCTGAAACTAATATTACATGTATAGTAACTAACTGGAATTTAAGACTTTAAAAAATTTGAATAAAAAGAGATAAATTCTATATAATAAACTACTCCTATGAAGATGAAGGACTCAGATTTAGTTTATAATCTGGTATTTACTGATGACATTTATTTTCCCCTCTTCCCTTATGGACTGCAGTGCAATTTAGCATTTCCCTCTGATGATTTTGTACATGTTGGTCTTTTTTTCCCAATTAGACTGGAAGATCATAGATGACAGAGTCTATTTCCCTTGTTTTCCCAGAAGCACTTGGTATGTTCCAGGTGGCTTGTTTTATGGGTGTATATGGTTCAATTACTATTAGCAAAGCCTCTGTATGAAAATGGATGCAGATTCTATAATCTATCTTTGAAATTTCACACACTGCTATTCTGTCTAGCATACTCTTAAAAAAGTCAATACTGAAACTGACTTCTCTTCCTGGAGACACAGAGTAGATGTATTTTACCCTATTCTTCCCACTTAGTACTACTAAAAACCTTGGACATTATATATATGTAAATAAACATAAGAATACTCTAAAAGATGAAGGAAAGAAGACAGATCAGCTAGGGACCTTGGGACCCAAGGAACAACATTAACATGGTGGTGAGTCCCCTGGGTTTTCTTTTCTGCCTCATGTCCTAGAGTTGCTGCTGAAGAAGCTGGAAACACTAAGAGGCACACACAAAAAAAGCTCGAACAGAAACCTTGTTTCTCTAGCTAAAGGATGAAGAAAGACAAAAAGCTTAGGAAGACAGAAAAGTTTTAGACTAGAATTGCTCCATTGCACTAGACACCACAGAAAAAAACCGTGGTGCCATCCCCACCCAAGGCCAGTAAAGGCTGCATGAGGAGCCTAGACTTCCACCCATGCTGGGCTATCATGAAGCCACCTCCTCTGCCACCTGTGGTATCAGTGAAAACCAAGAGACATCTACCTCACTCCCAGCAGTGGTGAAGAGATGCCCTGGGATGTCTAAGGAGGCTGATTAGGGTGCCTGGATTTCTATCCCCACCTAGCAATAATGAGGCAGTGCCTTCCCTTCCTCTGACAGAGTGATTGGCAGAGGGAGCCAAATAAGATGGAGGATTTATTTGATTTTATTTATTTATTTGACAGAGAGAGACACAGCAAGAGAGGGAACACAAGCAGGCGAAGTGGGAGAGGGAGAAGCAGGTTCCCTGCGGAGCAGAGAGCCCGATGCAGGACTCAATCCCAGGACCCCGGGACTGCGACCTGAGCCAAAAGCAGACGCTTAACTGACTGAGCCACCCAGGTGTCCCTAAGAGGATTTAAACAAGATCCAGTCTCACAGCAGAACATGAAAACATCCAAGTTTCAACTGAAAATCACTTGTTGCTGGTAAAAAAAACACCAAGCGCAAGGAAAATTTCAGATTCTATTTTTTTTTTTAAAAGAGAATCAACAGGGTGCCTGGGTGGCTCAGTTGGTTAAGCGACTGCCTTCGGCTCAGGTCATGATCCTGGAGTCCCGGGATCGAGTCCCGCATCGGGCTCCCTGCTCAGCGGGGAGTCTGCTTCTCCCTCTGACCCTCTTCCCTCTCGTGCTCTCTCTCTCTCATTCTCTCTCTCTCAAATAAATAAAAAAATAAAAAAAGACAATCTACAGATGCTAATGTTGAGATGAGAAAAATGTTAAAATTATCTAACAAAGATTTTAAAGTAATCATAGTAAAAAAATGCTTTACTAGAAATCATGAATTTGCTTGAACCAAATGAAAAATAGAATACAGCAAAAACAATATAAAGAACCATCAAATGTTTTAGAATCAAAAACTACAACTGAAATACAAAGGTAAGTGGATAACACTAAAGAACAGAATAGAAGGGACCGAGAAAAGCATCAGTGCACCTGAAAACAGGACAATATAAATCACCTAATCTGAACAAAAGAAAGAAAAGAGAGAAAAAATGAAGAAAGTCCCAGGGATGTGTGATACTGTAACAAAATATTTATCTTATATCATCAGGTTCCAGGAAGAAGGTGGTAGATCTGAAAAAGTACGCAATGAAATAATGGCTGAATATTTCCCAAATTTGGCAAGACACATAAACCTACAGATTCAACAAACCCCAATCAGAATAAACCCAAAGAAATCCATGCTGACAGAGAATCTGTCACAGGCAGATCTAAAAGAATGCCAGGGGGCACCTGAATCGGTTAAACATATGACTCAATCTCAGCTCAGGTCTTGAGTTCAAGCCCTGCACTGGGCTCCACTCTGGGCATGGAGCCTACTTAAAAATTTTTTAAAAAATAATAATTATTAAAAAAAAAAGAATGCCTGAAGTTCTCTAAAATAAGAATAACAGAACCTCAGAACATTAGAAACAAAAACAGACAAAGTAGAATTTGCTTTTTCTCTTGAGCTTTCTAAATTACATGGGACAGTTGAATGAAAATATAACAATGTATATAGAGGAAATACTTGTGAAAATTATAAATGAGAGGGGGTAAAGGGACATAAATGGAGGAGGTAAGGTTTCTACACTTCAGTCAAACTGACAAGAAAAATGACACCAGTAAACTCTGATAAGCTATGTATAATATAGCTAGTATACAGAGCAACCACTAAAAATGCTATACAAAGAAGAAACACTAAAAAAAATTATAAATAAATAAAAATGAAACTAAAAAATATTTAAAAGTACTCAGAGGAAGGCAGGAAAAACAAAAGAAAAATAAATAAAATGGTAGAATTAAAGTCCTAAAATATCAATAATTATATTCAATGTAAATGATCTGAATACATCAATTAAATGACAGAGACTGGCAGAAGAAATGAAAAAACATAACCCAACTATATGCTGTCTCCAAGAAACTCACTTTAAAAAAACAGTAGGACTCAAATCAATTTAAATATGATACAGACAGGTTGGAAATAAAAGAATGGAACAAGACATCATGCAAAAATTAATCAAAAGACAGAAGAATTGGCTACATTAATATCAGAGCAAAGAAAATTACCAGAGCTAGAGAATGACATGTATATATGATAAAAAGGCCAACCCACCACGAAGATACAGCAACCCTAAATGCATATGCACCAAAAAGAGCTGCAAAATATGTGAAGCAAAAATTGACAGAATAAGACAAAATCAGCAATACAGAAGAATTCAACAAGCAACATCTATATATAGAACACTCCTTCTAACAACAGAATACACCTTCTTTTCAAGCGAAACATAAACTTCAGATAGACCAAATGCTGGGCAATAAAACAAAGAATGTACATCGCATGGTACAGAGTCTCAAATCACAATGGAATAAAATTAGAAACCAGTAATAAGGTTAACAGGAAAATCTCCAAACACTTGGAAACTGAACAACATACTTCTAAACAATCCATGTGATGAAGTCTCAACTAAAATCAAAATACATATTAAACTGAATGAAAATATAACATTAGAACTTGTGAGAGACAGCTAAAACCCTGCTAAGAGGGAAATTCATAGCATAAATATACACAACAGAAAACAGAAAAGTCAAATCAACAATCTAATTAACATCTGAACAACCTACAAAGATAGCAAAATAAACCCAAAGCAAGCAGATGGAAGAAAATAACAAAGAACAGAAATGAATGGAATTTCTAATAAAAAATTGAAGAAAATATATTAAGTCAACAAAGAGCTGATTCTGTGGAAAAAAAAAAAAATTCAGTAACACTGACAAACCTCAAGACTAAAAGAAGGCACAAATTACCGCCATAGAAACGAAATGGAGTATCACTACAGACACTGTAAATATCAAAACAAAAACAGTAAGAAAATACTACCAACACTGACAGGTTAGACAAACTAAACAGAATAAAATGCTCAAAACCACAAACTGCCACAAGTCACTCAATATGAAATAGATAATCTGAACAGTCCTAATAAGCTATTAGAATAATTTTGTAATTTAAAATCTGGCCAAAAAAGAAATATCCAGGCCCAGATGGTTTCACTAGTTTAAAGAAAAACTAACACCAATTCTATATAATCTCTTCCCCAAAACAGAAGGAGATAGAGCACTTCCCAATTCATTTTGTGAAGTTAGTATTACAGATACCAAAACCAGAAAAAGACATACAAAAAAAGAATACTACAGACCAATATCCCTCATGAATATAGACCCAAAAATCCTTAACAAAGTATCTGAAAGTAGAATTGAGCAAAATATAAAAAGAATTATACACTATGACCAGGTGAGGCTTATGCCAAGGATGCAAGGTTGGTTCTAGTAGAAATATCACATTAATCATAGAAAATCACCGTTGTTAACAGGTCAAAGAAGAAAAATCCCATAATCATTCTGATCAATGCAGAAAAAGCATTCGAATTCAAAAACTGAACAGCTAGCTATGCAGTGTTGGTGGTATAGTGGTGAGCCGAATAGCTACCTTCCCAAAAGTCAACAGCCATTCATGGTAAAAAATCTCATACAAGGAATAGAGAACTTTAACCTGATAGAGTATCTGTAAAAAACCTACCACTAACATTATAATTAATGGTGAAAGACTGAATGGTTTTCCCTTAAAATGGGGAACAAGGCATAAACGTCCACCCTCACCACACTTTTCAACATAGTGCCAGAAGTTCTAGCCACTGTAATACAGCAAAAAAAAAAAAAGGGGGGGGGAGATAAAAGTCACAAATAACAGATTTAAAAAGTCCCTCTTTGAAGATATGACTGTCTACATATAAAATCACATGTAGGGGTGCCTGGGTGGCTCAGTCAGTTGAGCGTCTGCCTTCAGCTCAGGTCGTGATCTCAGAGTCCTGGGATCGAGTCCTGCATCGGGCTCCCTGCTCAGCAGGGAGTCTGCTTCTCCCTCTCCCTCTGTGCTCTTGCTCTCTCTCAAGTAAATAAAATACTTAAAAAAAAAAGAAAATCACATGTAATTTACCAAAAAATTCCCCAGAATAAGTGAGTTTAGCAGGGTCACAGAATGTAAGATAAACAAAAAAACCAACTGTATTTCTAAATAGTAGCATATGGACACGAAAGTTAAATATACAATATAATTTACAATCACTCAAAAAAAAGGATACTTAGGTATATCTTGCAAAACATGTTTAGGATTTATACATGTGGAAAACTGCACAATGCTGATGAAAGAATCAAAGATCTAAATAAATGGATTGGAAGATTCAACACAGTAAAAATGTCAATCTCTCTGAACTGATACACAGTTCAGTGCAATTCCTAACGGGATATTTTGATACATATAAACAAAATATTCTAAAGTTTATGTGGAAAAGCAAAGGAACTGGAATATCTAAAACAATTTTGAAAAAGATTAACCAAGTAGAAGGAATGACTCTTCCTGGACTCAAAACTTACATAGCTAAAATAATCAAGACTGTAATATTACAGAGGGACAGACATGTAGATCAATGAAACAGAGAATCCAGAAACAGACTGAGACAAATATGCTCAAGTAATTTTTGAGATACGCAAAAACAATTCAATGGAAGAAAGACGGTTTTTCAACAACTGCTTCTGGAGTAAATGAACACGTAACAGGCCAAAAACAAAACATACAAAAAAAACCCCTCAACCTACATCTCAACTTTATATAAAAATTAACTCAAAATGGATCATGGACTTCAATGTAATATGTAAAACTATAAAACTTTTATTGAAAGAAATTTTCAGATCTAAGACTAGGCAAAAGTTCTAGACTTGATAGTAAAAGCATAATCCATAAAAAAAGTGATAAACTGAACTTCATCAAAATTAAATACTTTAGCTCTGCAAAAGACGATTAAGAAAATAAAAAGACAAACTACAGACTGAGAGAAAATATTTGCAAACTATGTATCTCACAAAGACTTGTCAGATTAGTGGTGGCAGGAGTTGAGAGGAAGGGGTGGTAGTGTGCATGGCTATGAAATGACAACAGTGAAAGAATCCTGTGGCAGTGGAAATGTTCTCTATCTGAACGGTCATCATCATGGTTGTGACACTGTACTGTAGCTCTGCAAGACGATTCCACTAGGGGAAACTGTGTAAAGGATTCAAGGGATCTCTGCATTATTTCTTACAACTGCATATAAATCTGTAATTATTTCAACATAAAAAGTTTAAAAAAACTTTTTTAAATCAACAGTGAAAAGCTCAATCATGAGCAGTTACAACACAGTAACTTCTGTGGAATATCTGAGTCTCAAAAGACATTTATTAACTAAGTACTAATTTGAATCTAAATGCCTTAAAAGAGAGTGACATTTCCAAAGCTACTGATAAAAGTCAAATGATTACAACTAAAGCAAAATAATCAACCTAGTTCTACAGAGATGACTTATTATTAAAATCTCAGAACTTGAGGCCTAATTCGGGGTGATATTTAGGTTGTCCTGGGCCTTATTTTCTTAATCAACAAATTATTACCAAACCAATGAGTAATTAATATGCACTTTCTACTTGCCAAACACTGTTCTGGCAGTTTCCTGTCTATATTCTTCATCTCTGACACTGAGGCCACTATATATGGTTCTAATGGAGGCTCCTTCAGCTATTGTGATAAATCCAACTACAGTAATTAGAGTATTTCTTCAGCCTTCCAGGTTCTAACTCAGTGACTAAAAAATATTTATTTGGAATAAACCACTTGAGTCTCAACTCCCCCACAAGTTTCCAACTTCCTCAATAATTATTCTAAGTTTAGAGCAGAAAGAAATGTTCAGATGAAGCCTATTCAAAAAGGCCTCCCAACTACAGTATATACAATTTGGTTTCAAACTGCCTACTTAATCTTAAAAAATTTCTGAAATTTACTACCACAATATGTGTTTTTCAAGCTTATGTTCTTACAAATGATTTGTTCATAGCACGTTTCACTTCATCAGAACCATCTGAATAGATCTGCTGAAATAATTTGTTTAAAGCTGCATCTCCCTCCAACTTCTCATTTTTTTCTTCTTCTTTGATTTCACCAACCAATTTATCCCAATTTCTTGTATAATGAGATGATGATGGATATAAGTTCTTTACATCTATGGAGTAAAAAAGATAGAAGTGATTAATCAACATGTGATGATTAAGGTCAAGAATATGTAAACTTTGTGACCATGGTATATAGAACATCTTAGCAAATAGTTTAGGTTACTAAATTTCATGTTTATAATAAATGTCTTTCTGATATATACATCAATAATCAGATTTACACTTCTAAAAACTGAATCAGTGGGCGCCTGGGTGGCTCAGTTGGTTAAGCGACTGCCTTCGGCTCAGGTCATGATCCTGGAGTCCCGGGATCGAGTCCCGCATCAGGCTCCCTGCTCGGCGGGGAGTCTGTTTCCCCCTCTGACCCTCTTCCCTCTCGTGCTCTCTATCTCTCATTCTCTTCTATCTCAAATAAATAAATAAAATCTTTAAAAAAAAAAATAAAAACTGAATCAGTGTAATGTAAAATCCAGAAGTTTCTTTTGAGCAAAATCTAATAAAGTGTACATTTTTGGTATACTATGTAAAATTAGATTAAAAACAGATTCTTTGTGTTAATAATGAGGGGACTGAGTGAGAAGTATACTAGAACTTTTATATTTACAGAAAAGTTGCAAAGATAGTATAAACAATTCTAAAAATAGTGTTTTTAAATAATGCTTCATTAAGAAATTTCTCTTACAAACAAGATTTTAATGTTAAAAATGTGACTTTTTTGAGGTGCTTCTCTATCTTTCAGAGTAGAGCTAAACTGAAAATATAATTATCCATGCCATTAGACAGTGAGTTAAGACTCCATCCTCTCCCCACATTATTAGATTACTTCAACAGGAGATAATAAGCAATTCCTGAATATTGAAAAATACACCATGTGATTTTTTAGAGTTCAATGCCCACTCATGCACACATTGAAAATAACAGTACCTGTAGGGCACACTGGGGTAAATGGAGGCTGCTTACAACCAGAGAGGCTACTGACTGGCCCAGGGGCTCAGGGCACTGCCAAGGCTATCCTAAAGACTAAGGGAATCAAGATGGTGGCACCCAAGTAATTAAAAAGTAATCTACCTAGAAGTTATAAGAGCAGTTCTGTTCACTCTCCAATGGAAATATAACGCAGGCCACAAATGTGAGCCACATACATAATTTAAAAATTTCTAGTAGCTGTTACTAAGAATCATCACGTGAAATGCATTTTAGTAATATATTTTACTTAACCTAATATATTCAAAACAGTATCATTTCAACATGGATCAATATAAATATATTAAAACATTTTATATTCTTCCTTTCATACGGTTTTCAAAATCTGGTATTTTATACTCCAGCACAACACAATCCAGACTAGTCATTTTCAAATGCTCAGCAAATATATGTGGTGACTATACTGGACAGTGTAGTGCAGAGCTTTAAAAAAACCTGATTCAAAGTTTCCCTATTAATAAATTAGGACACATTACATGTCCCTCCTTCCACTACTACCTCTCTATATCCCTTTCCTCAAAATAGTCCAGAAATGAGAAACCACTAACTGTTCAGTTTGTTGTTCCATCTCTTCTCTTCACCTGTAAGTCTTTCTCCCTATCTCCCCAGCAAAACAAAACTAAACAGCACCCCTCACAGTTTTATTTAGGGTAAACATACAGTTTTCTGATCTACCCTTCCTCCACCAGTAATCCCCTCTATCTATGTGCATTTTCACTAGTAGCCAAAGAAAACAAAAAAAAATGTCATAGTAAATTAAAAGCCTAAAAAACATGGGTTTAATTAATCCTAATGCTGACTCCCCAGAAGAATGGGAACACAGGTTCTAACCTCCATTTTACAGATAAGAAAACTGGCCCAGACAGGTCAAGCAACTTGCCCTTATCTGCAATCACTAGCTTGCAGGACATAGGAATCTGACAAGCATATTAATTCCTTACAAAAATATAAAACAAGACAGAAGGAATAGCATCTGAAATATCCAAGGAATTGAGTTTAGAAAAACTCTGCAACCGTAACACTAAAAAATCTTTATATTTAATCTCAGAAAACTTTAACACCTGTAGATGGTAGATAAACGACTGAGGAATGCATGGGAAACCTAACTTCCTTGTTCATTCATTATAGTATCAAATAACTGCAAAGATACTCATGTCAGCAGAGACTTTTTTCCATTGTTAAGAGATGCAGCAACAACCAGTATCACATATAGGGTTTATGTAAGAACCAGACCCAGACCCTGAAGACCAGGGTTTAGTCCTAGACAATGAAAACTGCTGGGCGAGCTTAAGCAAGTTGCTTACTTTCGGCGCCTGTAGAACAGGTCTGCCTACTATAGAGGGCTGTTGTTAGAATCGAGTGAGATACTACATTTAAAGTGTTTTGTTTTGTTTTTTTAAATGCTTTTTGAGCTATATATAAACCTCAGCCCCCAAGTCTCTGGGAGTCAGACCCAAAAGAAGCACATAACATCTTTCCTCTTTTAAATAAAATGTGAAGCAGAAATACCAACTTCAAATATTTCAATCCTAAAAAATTATCTGTTGTGGTGTCAATTTTCCTGGTTTTGCTAATTACACAATAGACTAGTTGTGATGTTATTATGCAGGGAAGCTGGGTGAAGGGTACATGAGAACTCATCATTTCCGCAACTTCTAGGGGCATCTAAAATTATTTCAAAATAAAAATAAAATAAAATGAATGATTTGTTGGCTAACTCAGTGTTTTCTAAAAGGTGCCACAAGGAAATGTTTTGTTACAGAAAGAACAGTGAAAAATCTAAAAATAACTCAAACACAGTATTAACTCATTTCAGTCATCAAATCAGAACATTTAAATTTCTCTCCTTTCATTAATGAGGCCATGGCTATAAAATACACTCTTTAGGTTGTAGTCCTAAGAGTATCTAGCAGATTAATCATTCCATTAGGAAAACACCTATCTATTGCATAGGCTTAAAACTGACCCAACATAAAGTAGTCTGTCCCTTACAGGGTTAAAAACAATCAACCCTAGTTTTCCACTCTTCTCCTAGGCTTTTCTTAGGTTTTTCATGACCTGTTTGTGAGCACTTCTTTAGGAGCAATAGAGTGAAATGGGTTAGATATTTTACTCTGTGAAGCCCTGAAAGTCCAGGAAATTAGAGCTGACAGTATCAGAATAGAAAGGAATAAATGAAAGGGAGAGGGAAGAGGAGGAAATTATTTCAGCAGAATAAACCTCTAATCCACTTACAACCCAAAAATAAGCAATAGGAAAGGGCAACACACAAAAACAACCCTCAACTAAATCATACAGTGACTGGGTAAACAATATAAACCCAATGCCCTCAGGGTTTATGCAGAGCATTCACTTGTATTCTGAGTTGAAGAATTGAAAAAGGTAGAAACTTCACATTGAAAGGCTACTTTGTATTCATTACAGAGCAATCTTATTGCACTCAATAAATCTTTTCCTGGGAACATAAATAATGAAAGTAGAAAGAATGCTCTTTACTATTTAACTTCAACTATATAACACAATATGAATTTAAAGTTCATCAAGGCCAGAAAACAAACCTGCTATGAACTGTTTCGGTTTAGGCACATCTCCTTGCCCCTCTAGCTTTTCCCATCTCACAGCCTCTGTCTTTTTCATTTTAATTTCAATCTGGAGGAAACACCAAATAAAATTTATTATTCCATGTAAAATATACAAAACAGTAAAAAACAAATGCAATTTCCTTAAGTCATAAAATTTTATAAGAATTAATAGTGCTCTCGAGATAATTTCCTTAAATTATACAAGGTTAAATTTGAAGAACTTTGAAACATTTTGTTTCTACTTAAAAGCCACCCTTCAAAAACAACATACATACATACTATAAGCTATAATTAAGAGTCCTGAAATCCATATGTTTTTTTCTTCCAATGCACTGTTCTCAACCAGGGGTGATTTGGCAACGTTTATGGTTATTGTTGGTCTTCACAACTGGGGTGGGGGTTGGGGATGCTCCTAAACATCCTACAACATAAAGGGCAACCCCTCCACAACAAATAATTATCCAACCCAAAATGTCAACAGCAACCCCCATTGAGAAACCCTGTTCTAAAGGAATTACTATAGGGGTGCCTGGGTGGCTCAGTCGGATAGGCATCTGACTGTTGATTTCAGCTCTGGTTGTTGAAATCAAGCCCCTTGCCGGGCTCTATGCTCAGCGGGGAGTCTGCTTCCCTTTCCTTCTCTCTTTGTCTCTCTCCCTCTGTTTCTCCCCCTGCTCACGCTCTCTAAAATAAATAAATAATTTTTTTTTTTTTAAGAATTTATTTATTTGAGAGAGAGTGAGAAAGAGAACACAAGTGTGGGGGGAGGGAGAAGCACATGGGGCTCAATCCCAGAACCCTGGGATCATGACCCGAGCCGAAGGCAGATGCCCAACCGACGTGTGCCCCCAATAAATCAATATTTTAAAAAAATAATTACCACATTTGCTTGTACATTAATGCATTTGAGAGCTGAGACAAATTCATATCACTGTATAAAAATAATACAACTAATGCTAAAATTCTTATAATAATGCTAAATTCTTATTCTCACTCAATAATTATTAAACACCCAATATGAGCAAGTTATAATCTTCAGGGATGTGGTGGACTTTTAAAAATATTAAAAACATGTTCTAGGCCATCTGAAAGTAGGTGAGATACTAAAAGAAAGTTGATAGTATGATTACAAGCAGAGATTACAAATGGGTGTGAAAAGAAGAAGTGTCAGCGCACCTTGAAAAGCTTTGAGGAGCAGGAGCATTTGCAATGGTGGAAGGGGGAGGTCTCCAGAGGCAAAAGCAACAGCCTGAAACTGGAGCCCTGAGGTTTCAAAGGACACAGTGCATCAGGGAGTACAGACAAAACCAATTTGTCTCAAGTCCAGGATTTATGTTAGAACAGTAAAAAATACAGATGAAAGAGGTGTAAGGCAAACTATGAAGAGCCTCTGAATGCTGAACTAGCTTCACTTATTAAAATGAAATATTAAAAGCATCTTTAACTATCTAATCAAGGCTGGTCCCCTAGAGTCTACCCTTAAGGGTAACATACACTCACAGAGCACTTACATATACCTTTTATTTTCCTTGTTCAAATAATGCTCACTCCCAATTTAAGCCTAGCAAAATCAGCATTTATAGCACTAATAAATTATTATGCAAACAGTTTAAGAATCAAATAGAATTTTTGTAAAAAGATCTTATCAGTCTTATAAATATATTTTAGAGAGAGGAAGTGCGAGCACGGGGAGGGGCAGTGGGAGAGGGAGAGAGAAAATTCTAAGCGCAGGCTCCACACCCAGCAAAGAGTCCAACGCAGGGCTCCATATCATGACCAGAGCCAAAAGCAAGAGTCGGATGCTTAACCAACTAAGCCACCCACACACCCCTCAAAATAGAATTTTATGTTCTAATTTTTTCTAAGAAAAGGATTTACTTTTGTAAATAGGAAAAAAAATCAAAAGACAAATGTAACAGAAAGAAAAGCCTATTCACACTGGTTCTTTAACGCCATTAAATCAGATAAATCATTTAAACTAGCAATTACTGGTAATCTTTCTACCACCTGCATTTAGTGTCAGAATCCTTAAAATTTACATTTTAAAATACCTTAACAAAACACTAACCGAGAAATCTGCCCATAATTTTAATCAGATAAGAAGTGATGGTATAGAAGGAGTATAGTCTGAGTATTTGTATTTTCTTTAGCACAGAAATTTAACAAAAAACTGTTTTCATAATGAAAAAACCATGAAACAAATGTCACTGGGAAAGAGACAAAAAGTATAGTATTTTTAATGTAATTTATGTGTTTAAATTCTACATAAAAACAATTTTAAGAATCCCTAGAATTCTCTAAAATGAATGACTAATTTTTATAAAGTAAAACACTACCTATATTTTCTCATACACAGTATTAAGTGATAATAATTTGGTTATTTTAAGTTGTTGCTGCTGGAATTATTTATCAAAAAGGGGCAAAAATCTAATAGCTGGCGATGACACAGCAACAGTTACTGAAAAGGGATATTATCATCCTAAAATTTAAAACTTCATCTTGTTCCTTTAATTTTCAACTCATCTGGAAATGAAGACCTGGCAACACTATCCTTAACTAGCCTCTGCCTCAGGGCACCTTATATTCGCACCTCCTGTTCCTGCACTTAAGCACGGTCTATAGAATTGTTCTTTGTTTCACCTAGAGAGCAGCATACACTAGCATTCACATCTACTGAAGCCACTATAACCAGAGTAATTGTGCAGTATGAACCAAGAGGCCTTTGTAAGGCCAAACTCAAAGCTCTCAGTAACAACGTGTATCAAGTGAGACACGCTGACCTGAACCTGAAATCATATTTAATCCATTAAAATAGCTGCACATAATAATAACACACTTAAAGTAGCTTTTTAAAAAGATAAAAGTGGGAAGAGCTAATTTTCTGTGAATCCCTTTTTACCCCTATTTCACTTTCAACGCTTATACATGCTTTTAAAAATGAAGTTTTAAGTCTTAATGATCCTGGCAGGTACCTCCAAGAGTTACCAACAGCCCAATTTCAGATTATTTTTATTGCAACTATTAATAAGCTATTCTATTTTCATTTAAGTCAAAATAATTTACAAGTTAACTTAAAACCTTGGTTTGAATGTTCCTCTCATATGCCCGGGAAAGGTATTCAGTAATATCCCAAAGCAGTATTCACAGATTACTAAGTATGAATCCCTGCTGTTCCAGGTTGTTAAGTTTTCATGATTTTGCATACTATCACCCACTTCTCAATTCTTTACACACAGACAATTTAATATTTTCCAATGAAAGAACTTCAGACTTAAAGGGAAGCCATTACCCCAAAAGGGTCATGGCATCCAGACACCACCTTCTTAGGAGGGGGGTAAAGCTCCCACTTCCTGTCACAGACTGACCCTGAAGGCATCTTTCTCAGAGACTAGAGAGCTGTGGCAGTTTACTGCGAAAGTTTTTCGAGCGAAGTTTTGACAACCATCTGTTTCGAGGCTGTAGTCATTAAACAATTGTTCCTGACCTTTAGAATGTAATTTTCCCAATATTCTCTTACTCAGCTCTTTACATGTTTAATGGCTGTATCTAACCGCTTCGTCCAAAAATAGAGTAAACTCAGTCTTCCTGAAGCCATACTGCACATCTACCATCTTTATTTTTACACTCAAATCATTTTGTAATCATTTTTTAAAATGTAGAAGACAGTAATTAATGATGAGAAACTGAAAAATCACAGAAATTCTAAAAGTACAATTCAAATATTTACTGAGTGCCTACTGTGGGCAAGGCACTGTGATAGTACCTAAGATCACAGTCTCTATTCTTTCTGAAGAAATTAGTAAGAGATATTCCCATAAACAAAAAATTCCAGTATATACCACATGTAGTGAAAGATCTAAATATAGGAAAATATTCTAGTTTCCTAGAAGTTTGCCAAAATGTCATCAGTAGTGAGACTGATTACTTTCTCAGCTCCTTTATATTTTTCTAAATTTTCTATGATATGTATTGCTTTTATAACATGAATAAAAATCTGAATAATCAGGATAAAATAATAGCAGTAACATTTATTGAGCACTATTAAAACCCTGTGTGCTTCGTATATGTCATCTCAGTTAATAGAACAACCCTGTAAAAGGAGATTACCATCCGTATTTTAGAGATGAGGCAGCCAAGATAAACAGACAACTTGCTGGAAGTGTCTTTTACTGCTAGAAGTTCTACTTATTTCCTCAGAAATAAGCAGAGGTTAAAAACAGTACAAAAACTATCAACTGTATAATTTTAGAGAAGAGTCATAAATAGGGGCTACTTGTTGGAAATATGACTATAAACAAGTAACTAATCTCACTGAGCCCGTTTCTCCTGTAAAAAGTTATTAATAGGGTACTGCCTCATTTAGGGTTCTTATCAGGGTTAAATGAAACCATGTGGGAAAAGAACAGAGCACTGTGTCTGGCAAATAACTGAATGCTATTATCATTATCTTCATCATCATTTTAATTAGCTAAAAAATCTGGGCAAATTATTTAACATCTCTGGGTTCAGTTTATACCTGTAAATAGGTGATAAAAATACCTACACCATGCAGTATTTGTGAGGATTACATGGGATAATATACAGCAGTCAAAACAGTTACCTACTATAATTCTGCACAGGTCAAACAGTAGGGACTGGCTAACTAACCTACAATGAATGCATACAGTGGAATACTTCTCTGTAGAATACTTAAGGGCATCGAAAAATTATCCAAAATGTATGGTTAATTTAAAAAGACAGCTATAGGCAGTACTTACAGTAAAATCCTTTTCTTTTGAAAATAAGAATATACATTAGTAGAAAAGGGGGCAAGAATACACTTCAAAAAAAAATTTGTGGATTACAGCAACTAATCACTTATTAAAAAAAAAACACAGGGGGGTTGGCTCAGTTGGTTAAGCGACTGCCTTCGGCTCAGGTCATGATCCTGGAGTCCCAGGATCGAGTCCCGCATTGGGCTCCCTGCTCAGCAGGGAGTCTGCTTCTCCCTCTGACCCTCTCATGCTCTATCTCATTCTCTCTCTCAAATAAATAAATAAAATCTTTAAAAAAAAAACACAAAAACTATTACCACCACAACTGTATCAAAGACATAAAACATGCGACGCCTGGGTGGCTCACTCAGTTAAGCGTCGGACTCTTTGATTTTGGCTCAGGTCATGATCTCAGGGTTATGGGACTGAGTCCTGCCTCAGGCTCTGCACTCAGTGTGGGGTCTGGTTGGGATTCTCTCTCTCTCTCCCCAGACCCCCTCCTCTGCTCTCGTATGTGCTCTCTCGCTCTCTAAATACATAAAATCTTTAAAAAGACCTAAAACAATCAAAAACACCCCCACATCTGTGTTTAAAAAAGCAGCAACATCCTGCCCAAACGTCTCCAACTCTATCACATCATCATCAGGATTCTTCTATGAATATTAAAAAGAGGAATTCACTCTAAAACTTCTCAATTTTACTGAGTTAAGAAGGGAGAAGGGAGCAATTATTTGTCTCCAAGTAAAGACATTTTACTTCCCACAATTCCAGTTAAAAGCCTTCATATTTTATATAGCTATGATACAAAAGAATTGCTTTGACTAAAAGCAGGAATAGAAGTGGGGCGCCTGGGTGGCTCAGTTGTTAAGCATCTGCCTTCGGCTCAGGTCATGATCCCAGGTTTCTGGGATCCAGACCCACATCGGGCTCCCTGCTCAGCAGGAAGCCTGATTCTCCCTCTACCACCCCCCCTGCTGTGTTCCCTCTCTCGCTATGTCTCTCTCTGTCAAATAAATAAATAAAATCTTAAAAAAAAAACAAAACAGGAATAGAAGAACATTTTTTTTCCCTTTAAAGATTTTATTTTTAAGTAATCTCTATACCCAACATGGGGCTCGAACCCACAACCCCGAGATCAAGAGTCGCACACTCCACCAACTAAGCCAGCCAGGTGCCCAGAAGAACATTTCTACAAGGGTGAATTTACTACAAAGGATTTTGAAAATTCTAGTGTTTTAGGAGTGAATATTAATCTTTAAAATGAGTATTTCACAGCACAGCTGTCACTGAAGTTATAATCTTGTGATTGTGAGCAGAGAATAGTGTCATGAAATTAACAAGATGGAACAAAAGAAACACTACCGTTTCTTAATAAAGAAAATGAATTAATAGGCAGATACGAAAGCTGGTATTCAATAAAGGGTAGAAAAAACTATCAAAGGTACTGAAAAAAAATACGAATTCTGACTTGGAAAGACCTAGACATGACATTATAAAATATTTAGTTAAGAAATGCTATTTCATTAATTTAAGGGTCCTACTTCTCTTATTTTCATTGCAAATTATATTTCACTTGAATTAATAACACTTAACCAACGATTATACATGAATATGCAACATTTATTCAACCTTGAAGGTGGAAAAGAAAGAAACTGGATTCTCAAAGCAAAGAAACAGCCGTTTTAAAGCACAGATTTTATGGAATCTCTAATTTTAAGCAGATTCTTCTAAACAGAACCATTCTTTTCTCAACTCACATAAAGGATTCAAGACACTTGAATACATATGAAAGTCAAATGACTTATTTTTCTCTTAGTATCATTAAATAAGCCTCAGTAACCCACAGAAAAATTTTATTTTCAGTATTTTAACAGTCTCCCTCTGCAGTATGAAAAAAAGATTCAAAACTTTCATTTCCCTTAAGATAAAATTAAGTGCAATTATTTCAATTTGTTTCCCATAAAATACAGCTTAAAAGTTGGTAGTCTTAACAAAACTAATATATATTATTTTGAGTTAAGACAAGAAAAATAATCATCTTCCATTAGACATCTTAAGAATTTTAATTCTTATTACAGAACTTAGAAAAACCTAAGCAAAGAAGCACTAGCTTTCCAGAAATGAAAGTATTCCTCTTGGGCCAGGATGAACAATTTAGTAACTATGTAAACTCGGGGAAAGCATTTAAAGTCCATGAACCTCAGTTTCTTTTCACCTATAAAACGAATAAAAATACTCTGCCAACTTCAAAGGGTTAATATCAGAATCCAATTTAAATTCATTCACTGAACAATTACTAAGCAGCAAACTATGTACAATACACAGAGACAGGCAAATTTAGCAAATGGATCATACTTACACTAAAAAATTACTCATTGTTTGTGGAGTTAACTGGGGCATTCTTACCTGGAGGATAAGTGTTTTACAAACACACAAATATGACTTGCTTCTCATCCTCACAGACTAAACGCAAGGGGAATGAAATGTATACATAAACTACTATACAAAATATAAAAGTAGTTATGTAGCATTTTAAGATAGAAGGGACCAGGAAAGCAAACTGGGAAAACAGAAGGGGGGGATTGCAGAATGGTTAGCATCAACAAGCACTGAAGTTTCAAAGGAGAATTAAAGAATGAGAGATAGTAGTGCTTCATTAACATCCTCAATTCTAGCCACACAAACTTATGTATTTATTACCACACATTCTATTCTTCCATAAATTTTATGAGGAGAGCCAGTAACAGAAGTTTTTAAGTCATTTACCATCTATTAAACTACTTCAAAAGAACACGCATTAACATGTTCATAAAAATATGTACAAAAATGCCAAACTCATGACTTTCTGACCCAAATCTAGCTAGAGTTTTGTAGTTATTTACCCAACTTCTTTTACTGAACAAATTCTACACTATGTGTAAGACTAAAATCTTGCTAAGATTTCATCCCTTTTTCTCACTTTCTATCACCCAAACAACTGTTTCTTCTCTCACTCATAATTTAACAGCTCTGTACTTTGTAATCTTCAACTAGGTAAGTGGGCAAATCACTTCTAACTAGATGCAAAAAACTACCACTTCTTGGGGCGCCTGGGTGGCTCAGTCCTTAAGCGTCTGCCTTCGGCTCAGGTCACGGGATTGAGCCCCGCATCGGGCTCCCTGCTCAGCGGGAAGCCTGCTTCTCCCTCTCCCACTCCTCCTGCTTGTGTTCCCTCTCTCGCTGTGTCTGTCAAATAAATAAAATCTTTAAAAAAAAAAACAAAAAACAAAAACAAAACTACCACTTCTTAACTTTGCACTTCTGCTCAAATGCTCTGCAGGTACCCTCTTCTTTCTGCAGGCCCAGTTACCATATTCTCCCAGATGCAGGCCAACTCTGATTCTACTCTAGGACAGGAAAATTCACATATCCTTAGAACTTAAACTCAACAGTTACTAACACTGTATGTTGTAAGACATGTGTATAAAGGTGTAGTAATGGAAAAAGTCTACTTATATCATCTGCTGTCATACCTCATTATATACCTTCATACAATTTTATAGATGAAAAAATTTCAGAGCTCATTTAGTCCATATCTCTCATTTTAAAAGACGGTGAAAATTTAGTCCTATAATAATTTTGTGACTAGTCTAAATTCGCAGGGCAAGCAAAGAAGCAGAGTCAGATTTTTTTTATTTTTCAGTTCAGCACTTGTCCTACTTATACTACCTACATCTTCTGATTGCTATTTAAAACATTCTATGACTTTTAATTCCATCTCATTTTTTACTTCTTTTTGAAAATAAAAAGAAATCTAAAAATTATGTAATTACTCGAACTGCATTTTAAATCACTCAGTATTCCCTCATGAAGTATTCTAAAATTCAGCTTAATTAAAAAACAAAAAAAGAACAGATTCATTTTCATAGTAGTTTGTATTTTTAACTATGTTAAGGTAGAGTAAGAAAATATTTACACATCAAAAGAGACAAGTTTAAGAGAAGAGACTTTTGGTATCAAATCCTAAAGAGAGGCTGATAATTCCATCTTTTTTTTTTGAAAACCTCTTTAAGAAATATACCAATCTTAAATACACAAACACTACTGAGGTTAAATTGATTTTTAAATTCCATTGTCCTAGAATCTGGGGAGGGGAAAATTGTTACTCAAAATTTATTGTCCTTATTTACCTGTCTTTTTTTTTTTTTTAAGATTTTATTTACTTGAGAGAGTGAGAGAGAAAAGCACGAGAGAGAGGAAGGTCAGAGGGAGAAGCAGAATGCCCTCTGACTTGGTAACCCAATGCGGGACTCGATCCTGGAACTCCGGGATCATGACCTGAGCTGAAGGCAGATGCCCAAATGACTGAGCCACCCAGGCGCCCATTTAAACCTGTCCCTTTTAATTTGAAAATATGTGCTTAGAAGGATCTATAAGCTTATAATCACACAGGCAATTAGTTGACCAGTATTTATTTTAGAAATATTACTACTACAACTTTTACTCATTTAAATAATCTCTACACCCAACGTGGGGTTTGAACTCATGACCCCGAGATCAAGAGTCACATGCTCTTCTTACTGAGCCAGCCAGATGTCTCCATTACTGACAACTCTTTTAAAATTGTCTTACCTTTGTTGAAAGTACTTTAAATGTGCTCTGTTCTGGGATTATAGGATGAAGAAGCCTCAGCTGCAAATTATAATCCTCTCCAGAAGGAAGTTTCACCAAAGCAGACAACTAATGAATACAAAATTAGCAGCACATTTTTATATATATAATGAAACGTAAAATACTTAAACTGAATATAATTGCAGAATTTCAATACTGCTGCAGATTATTTTAAACACTTTATATGGAATATCAGATTTAAGAAATTCAAAATAAATCCTTTTTTTTCTACTTGGTATCCTTTACATGGATTCCACGTACATTATTAAGTAAGCAGAAAATAGTATGTTTCAAACACATATATAACATTTAAATCTCTAGAAAACTCAAGATATAAGAGCAAAACAATACAATATGTAACAAAAACATCTACTTCTACCACTAAAATATCATCGAAGTTTTCTACTAAATGCTAAGAAATCAAGTTACTACAAGTCACACTAATTTAATATGGTTAGTAAATTCTAAGACATATAAATCACACAACAAATAAGCAGACCTTTTTCACAAAGCATACCACACAAATGTAACCAAATCACATATCTTAATGTCTTTTATATTTGTCAACCAAGTTCTGCTTTGAATTTCAAATCTAAAGAAAAAGAAAATAATGCAAATCTAGCTATAACCTACAGTATAAATACTTTTGTCTCAAAATTTAAAATCATTCAAGCTGAAAAGCCATGCTTCAGATTTTCATCAGCATTTTCCACATCTCAGGAAGAAATGATGTATCTGATCAACTGCTATAGATTATTCTGCAGTATACTATATTTGCAAATAAAAGTATTTAATCTCAAAATAAAAAATAGTTCAAAGACTGTAATAACCTCTTTTTCTGAAAATTCCACATTTACATTATTCTTCTGAACACTCTTGATCATAAGTGTAATGATTACTTGAGATTCTGTTTGATACCAGTCATACCTATTGAAAAAGAAAAAAAACCACCTCAGAACATCTAATTTTCTTAAAGTTGTTGCTTCTTTATGTTTTGTCAAGATAAAAGCTACAATCTGATAAACAACAAGAGCTCCACCTTGAGGAACAAATAAGCAAAGCAGATGGTGATTCACAGAAACAATTTATAGAACTAATTTTCTTTGACCTGCACTAATGGAAAAGAACAGTAGGGTATGATGCCTCAAACCCTTCCAGGAGACTTAAATACTTACATGATTTTCTGGGTTCTGACTTATATCTCTAATATTGCTGTGCTTAAGCTAATGTTAAAGATGAAATTTACTCTTAACAGCTAGCCATTATTATATACCATTAATAGCTTTACACTTTCATTTCAACCTAATACTAAGAAAAAACACTTCTATCCCTCTTACAGATGAAAAATAAGCCCAGATGGGTGAAGCAGTCAGTCAGTCAGTGGCAGGTGTTACAATGGACCCATGCTGGCTGGACTCCACACTCCAAAATCTCTTAACTGAAGTTGGAGCAAACAGCCCAAAACACAGGGAGCAGAAGCAAATGAGCTAAAATTAAAATAACTTTTAAAATTTAACTCACCCTGCCAGGCACAACATTAAATACAGTATCTTCCTTCATTCTCAAGGTACATGGGAAAACTAATGTGCCTAGAGATTCTAATTATGTGTATCTTTCCCACAGAAGGCTCTAGAAATGTAGGGATCCTCACTTTCAAATTAGACTATATTAGATTATAAACTCCATGAGGCAGAGCGGTTTATCTATCCTGCCACTATTATATTCCTAGAACTAAACACAGTGCCTGGTACACAGTACCAGTATTAAATCAGTGTTGGATTATTTTATACTCCAAACATAATTATTATTTGATGTTTGTATTCTACTCCTGCTGCTGCCACCAAGCTAGTCAAAGTTCCTTGTCTACTTGGTACTTGGAAGAGTCATCCTAAATCTCCCCAGAAGAAGCATGAATAGATTGTTTTGTTTTAACATTTCCAAACCATTTTAGATAATTAAAATGCACCTTGATTAAAGAAATGAACTGTAAGAGTCTCACAGTTTCCCTCTGAAATTCAGTGAGGATGCAAAGCTCCCAATCAATGCCTTGTGTTTCTTTGTTACAGTCCTAAGAATACAAGTTGTACACATGGCTAATAAATTATTAAAAATAAATTCAAATACTTGCTAGATGCTTAATTCATTACTGTAACTGTTGCCCCGAGCAACAGTCCCCTTCAACTCATGCAGAATCACTCTATGAAAAATTTACTCTAAAATATAAAAGGCAGGTAGTTACAATTCTGTCAAGCCTACTACTAATTTATTTACCTGTGTAACAACAACTGGAAGAGGCTCTCGTCAAACATGGAAAGGTGACATAATATGGAACCAGATGAAGCATGTTTAAAATAGAGAACTGATCTGAATTTAACTAAACACTAAAATCAATCAGTAAACAGCCTTAGAATTAGTTTTCCCAGGCTAAACAAATTTCTAAAAAAAAAACTAAGAAACACCAAACATCACAGGGTAAGGACTTGCTTACTATTAAAAAAAAAAGGACTTTTCCCTTTAGGCGTATTTATCATGCATTGTCTTATGAAAAAGAAACACTTACTTGATTTTTGACTGATGAGTCCTCTGGGATGCACACTGATTTTGGCAAGTTGTGAGAGAAAGATTTTTACAAATTAGTTTACAAACTGTATATTAAAATGCATGTATTATTAATTTACCCAGTGCTATGGTTACTTTGATATGGAATAACTACATGAAAATGTCCCTCAAGCACAAAGCATACCTGAATTCATAATTGTTACACAATACTAGTCATCACAAAATACTAGAATATTCAACATTTTTATAATTTCAGGAGTTAAAATTTCAAAAAAGATTTTTCTTCTTAAAATAAAAGTGTAAGGAGAAAGGAAGGAAGAGTAAGATGAAAACAGAGAGGGAGACAAACCATAGAGACTCTTTTAACTACAGGAAACAAACTGAGGGTTGCTGGAGGGGAGGTGGGTGGAGGGATGGGGTAACTGGGTGATGTATATTAAGGAGAGAACTTGAGGGAATGAGCACTGGGTGTTACATGCAACTGATGAATCACTAAATTCTACCTCTGAAACTAATAATAAACTATATGTTAATTAAATTGAAGTAAAAAAATAATAAAAAATAAAAATAAAAAGCATAAAACCCAAAAAACTTTCTAAAGGTATGATTGGAAAAGGTTACATTTAAATGTCCAGTTCCAAGGCTAACTCTCTAAACCAAAAATAGTATTTAAAAATACATTAAAAAAAAAACCGACATTTTTTAGAAAGAGTATAACCTTCAGGCTTAGCAGTGGCATCAAACACTGCTCTGGAATATATGAAGGAACATTTCCATGGTGCCTTCCAGATAACAGCTTACTCTGTTTATGGTGTCTCAGCAACAAACATTCTACACTGCCCATCAAGAAACAAACTGATTCTTGACCAATCAATACTTCCCTAAACTACATGTGTGCCAGTTAAGACTATGTAAATCTAAAGAACTTGCCCTGGGTCATAAGTGACCTCTAAATTGTCCCTAAATGATAGGGAAGAGATGGGGTTTAGAGGAAGAAAATAAAACCCCTCCAAACAGATTTGAGTCTAATTCAGAATTACTCTCTAGTGTTAACTACTGGGAAATACCTGAATCTAGGTGATATCAAGTAAAGATAATGACTAGAACATATTATTCCTGTTCACCTTGGTACAAAGATTAAACTAGTGTGAACCACAGCAGTGACAAAATGCACTGTGGCTAAACAGCCATTTGTGTTACCAAAGTATAATCCAAATGCTATTTTATCGTTTTCAGGACTAGTTCCAATCCCAAATATGATACTGTAAGACCTAAACAAAAATACCAGCAGGTGAAGAAAGCCAACTTTTATTTATTTAAAGATTTTATTTATTTATTTTGAGAGAGCAGGGGGAGAGGGACAAGCACAGACTGCACGCTAAGCGCAGAGCCCAACGGGGACTGAATTTCACAATGCTGAGATCATCTGAGCCTAAATCGAGAGTCGGATGCTTAACTTAGCCACCCAGGTGCCCTGAAAGAAGCCAACTTTTAATACTTCCCTCATCCATCACCCTTAGGAATATGGACGAGCCTTTGAGGTATAGGAATAACCAGACAGGGCTCACTTTTGGTGTTGTTCCAAACTCCAATCACTACATATACACATATCTGACCTGATGCTCACAACCTGAAGGAGATTAGCTCTATTAGGCCCAGTTTACACATGAAGAAAGCCCAGAGAATAAAAGACTTTCTCAATGTCACAATGTAATTCTGGAGGACAGAGATGTAAATCTTCCTTCAGACATGAAAAGACCCAAGTGGGTTAAGTAACCGCCAACAGAATTAAGACTACACACACATCTCCTGACTCGTCATTTTATTTACTGACTAAACTGCAGATTATCGCTGCTAAAAACCACTAGCCATAATGCAACTATGTGTGTTATATATAAACCTAAGTGGTTAAAAAAAAAAAAATCAACTTTCAACTCCACCATAACTTTTAATAACTGAAAAGACTTGGAAATCTTCATATCCAAAACAATAAATGTGAAACTGAATTAGATAAACATTTCCAAATTTTACTTAACTTTTGTGTTCTCAGTACACCACAATAAACTCTGAAAGTGCTTTCTAGGCAGCAGCTGTTTAACTTAAATGTGATGACTTTTCAGCAAGGAAAAGATAAAAAATAACCACCCTGACCATACTAAAATATGCCAAATCAACTTGATCACACATTAAACAAGCCCAATAATTTTCATGACTATAAACCTCTATATCTATTTCACCAAAAATGGTATTATTTCATTTGCTAAAGTATTTACATGGAATTGCTTAAGATCTAAGTAAAAGATCATTTGGAGTCCTGTCTCAAATATATAGCAAAATTATAATTAAGTAAGAAGATGAATAAAAATTTTGTACTTACCACCTCAGATTGTGATCCTATTAAAAACATAAAAAAACATTTCCATTTAACAGTACATGTACAGGCAGTCACATACATGACTTCTATAGCACAAACATACTGATTACATAAGCCAATTTTCCATACATTCCAAATTTTAAAAAGTGGTTTAATTTTGCATCCTAGAGTCACTGTAGACTTTTAGTAATTTCTTAACGGTAACACAACTGCAAAACAAATCCATCCAAATCTCCCTTTCAACATAACAAAACTCTGGAAATCCCTAAGGGGAACATACACTATTTAAATTTATGATTTATAAAGTTATAAAGTTAAAAACACATTTGCTTAGGGCACCTGGGTGGCTCAGTTGGTTGAGCGGCTGCCCTTGGCTCAGGTCATGATCCTGGAGTCCCAGGATCGAGTCCCGCATCAGGCTCCCTGCTCAGCAGGGAGTCCGCTTCTCCCTCTGACCTTCCCCCCCTCATGCTATCTCATTCTCTCTCTCAAATAAAATAAAATCTTAAAAAAAAAAAAAAATTTGTTTAAATCCAAAAATGTCAAAAATTTACTTCTTTGTAAACTGAAAGACATGAGAAACCTACTTACCATTCTGGGCCTCTTGACACCTTTTAATCCAGACAGTGAAATCAGGATCCATACCTAAAAAAACAAACTGACTGTAACATCACTCACTCACCAGCACCCTCTAACATATTCATTCAACAAATATTTACTGAATACCTACTATGTTCCAGTGTTTTAGGCAATGGGGATTCAGCAGTAAATTAGACAAAAATACTTGTCCTAACAGGATTTATAGTAACCATAATGCTACAGCTATAAATATACGAATACTTTTAACATTTAGACATTCATCCTGAAGAATTTTAATTAAAAAAAAAAAATTAGTTTTAGCCAGTCAACCTTACTGGTTCCCAGATACAAATAATCTACATTTCCCCTCACTCCTCTCCTGTTAAAGGATCTTCCTCTCACACAACAAAATCAGACCTGAATTAGATACCCAACACACTATCAGTCAGTGTGGGATAGAAGCCTGGTATCAGACAGCTAGACCAAGGTCTAGAAGCTTCTTCTGACCCCAGATTTGTTCTCTAATGCAGCTACCCACTTTTTCTATCTACTCTTCTCTCAGTAGCTTTTCCTGTTACCGTGCCATTCCTACCAATACCAAAAAACACCTCTGTACTTTGCGCAGTTCTGTTTATCTCCAGATTCTACAGCAGCCAAGAGACTACAGATGGTGAACTATATTATTTAGAGATAGCAATGTAAACATGTACATAAGCAAATTATTAATTTCTAAAGACTCAGGACAATGATAATCCAAACAGTACAGGGTCTAATCCAAAATAATGTTAAAAATTATTAAAAGTGGGGGGTTGTTAAGTGGCTCAGTAGTTAAGCGTCTGCCTTCGGCTCAGGTCATGATCCCAGGGTTCTGGGATTGAGCCCTGCATCCAGCTCCCTGCTCAGCGGGAAGCCTGCTTCTCCCTCTCCCACTCCCCCTGCTTGTGTTCCCTCTCTCACTGTGTCTCTGTCAAATAAATAAAATATTTAAAAAAAATTATTAAAAGTACTCTAAATGAAAGTTTGCAAACTCAAATTGCAGGCAAGATTATTCTGAAAAATAAAAATTTCTTAAAATGGAATTTTCTAGTACACTAATTTATAAATAAAATTCAAACTGTATAGGCCTTAATACCTAGGCACATATACACACTCTTTCTAGTAGGGGTAATAATTATATCAAAATCTTAGATTTGAATATCAGTAAATAAAACCAAGCTTCCTACCATACCAAAAGAAAAAAAGTTATTAATATTCTGAGTTATAAATTTTTACCCTGTTAATAAGGGAACCCTAACAGTTTAACATAAAATTTCCTTAGAATTAAAAGACAAATTTGTTTTTAAATTAAAATATCCTTAAAAGCAATTTTACCAAAAAACAGACACCTTCATTTGAGGCAGACTTTGAAATAATCCTGAGATAAAAATCAATGGCAGGAAGATATTAATAAACGAAACAATTTAGGTGATGAACTTTCTATTGCTCTAAAAGAAATAAGGAATAGGGCTTAGAAATCTACAAGATAGAATGATTTATGTCTCTTCAGGGTTTTCAAGTATGTATCAAGGTACGGATAATTGGACTCTTTAGAATCTGATAAAAGCGCAGATATGCTGGCTTGCTTACTAAATTGCCAAATTATTCATGTACCACTCACTACTCCTTCCTAATTTGTAGGTTCCAATTGCAAAGTTGGACCCACTGTCCTCTCTCAAGCAGGTATACAGCAAAAGAGCAAATATTCAAAGCAATACAAGAGTAAATTTTTAAAATATAAAAACATACTCATGCAATACTTTAGGGTTTCCCAACCTCAGCACTACTGCTATTTTGGACCAGCTACTTCTCTGTTGTGGGGGACAATTCTGTGCGATGTAGGATGTTTAGCAGCATCCCTGGCCTCTACTCACTACGTATCCATAGCACATCCCCCACTCACCAGTCATGATAATCAAAAATCTCTTCAGACATTGCTAAATGTCCCCCAGGAAGCAAAATCACCCTACTTAGGAACCACTGCTTTAAAGAACTGTGATAAAACTCTATCATAGAGGGTGCCTGGGTGGCTTAGTCGTTAGGCATCAGATCTTCGACTCAGGTCATGATCCCGGGGTCCTGGGATTGAGCCCCAGATTGGGCTCCCTGCTCAGCGGGAAGCCTGCTTCTCCCTCTGCCACACCCCCTGCTTGTGTTCCCTCTCTCACTGTGTTTCTGCCAAATAAATAAATAAAATCTTTAAAAAAAAAAAAAAAGATTGCTTTAAAAAAAACACACACACACACAGAAATTATGGATTAGTTTATTAACATACAATTCCAATACTTACTATCTAATTTCTGTCCTCCTATAAAAGTTTCTAAAGCAGCCGCATAGTTTTTTTCATGGTATTCACATATCCTGCATGAGCATATTAAAAAATACCACACACACATGAGGTCATGCAAAAACGATTTCTAAATTAAATATCCTAGTACTCTCTATTGGTAAAAAAATAATTTAAGTATATGTTAATAAGCCAAGAGATTTTCTAATACACTGTAATACTAAATATAATTCTCATTAAAACCCAATTTTGGAACTCATTTCAAAAGGAATTTCTTGATTTAACTGTGTACACCTGCTTATTCCAAAATACAGTTATGCTAAGAAACCAAAGAAGTTTCTTAAAAATAAAATTACACTTATCAACAGAAACAAGCTGGGATGTAAAGTACACAGATACAGGGCTTTCAAAGCATTAAATGTAGCCTGTCCAGCCTGGTTAAATACAATAAATTCCAAACAATGAACAAAAAAGGGATTTGAAATCCATCAGTTTCATCTTTTCCTGGTAATTATTTCAACCACTATTTTAAAACACGCACACTACAAAAGAAGTATAAAATATTTAAAATTGAATCCTATCTCAGCTATAAAATGTACAAATACAAAATTTACTATTTACATAAAACTTAAAATTCATTCAACGAACTAAACACCTACTATCTATAGTCCAGACCCAATTAGAAGAGTAGTTATTGCATACCCTTTTCTCAGCATAGCAGTGGAATTATTTGGATTGCGTTCAAGAGATTTCTTTGCATCAGCAACACCATCTACATACAAAAAAAAAGGGGGGGGAGGGTTTAGTCAGTAATTTATGGGGATCCTAACAAGTTACATACAAAATTTGAATCAGCCCTACATTTTTAAGATTTCAAGTTGGTGCAATGGACAAATGCTTTTAAATTAGGAAAAACTAATCCAAGATAGAATCCAAAAAAAATCACTCTCATACCTTATTAGCCTAATATTTAGCTTTCTTTTTAAAGCTATTCAATGTATAAAGCTTTGTCACAAAGTTCATCTCATTTTCTCATTAACATCACTTAATGTAATTTGACTCAAGATATTTAGTTTTCCCTACCTAGATTCTCTACCCAGAATAATTTAAAAGTTACACAATATACAAAAATTACAAACAAGAGCATTTCATTTAAATAGTCTGTAAAACAATAAATGTGATGCTATTTTTTGTTAGTATACCCAATAACTACAAATGAAATCTGTATAAATTCTCCACCCACTGAAGGAAGAGACACCCAGAACATTTGTATGGGTGTTGCTCAACATATTTGTCATGTTTCAGCTACTTCACACCTTGTGTGAAAGACCAATTTAAAAACCTTCAAAGATCGTATCTACTATATTTGATTCACTGTATCTTGTGTAAAATTTGTAACTTATAAAGAAGAAGTAATATATTCAGTAAGAAAAGTTACCACAGTAATTCCCAAGAAGAATGTGACAATAAGCTCTTTGACAATAATATTGAGCATCATCTGGTTTCTGTTCCAAAGCCTTAGTCAGCTCCTACAAATACAAACATGTTGAATATCAATGAATGTTTTTAAAAGCAACTGAATTCTAATTAAACATGATTTTTAATCAAATAACCTATTATCATAAGCTATTTGGAGGAAGGAGAACAGAATAAGCTTGGAGCTTTCCTTTGCAAGAGGATCAATATCACCCCTTCTCCAGTCTCTCCCCCAAAATCCACATCCTAATGTAGTATCTTAGCACAGTTCCTGGCCTATAGTAGAAACTCTAAATGGTAATTACTATCACCTCATTTATTCTGAAGAATTTATATACATTGACCATCAAAGATTTTCTCCCCCTAATTTGGAGAAGACTCAAAGATTTGAGATGCCTAGAAAATATGAAACCGTCCAATAAAAACAAACAAAAAACATGGAAGTTGAATCTAGAGCTCAGGAAGGTTAACAGAATCAATAAAGACACAATGAAGCTTATCTGGCCCTCCCCCATCATCTGTCAATAGCAGACAACCCTAAGAAATTACCAAACGCTGTTGAAAGCCCAGATACAGTACCTCATAGATACCTACCATCAATTGATCAAGATTTAACATGAGATTAAAAATTTGTCACACTGGGCAGTCACAGTACGTAAGTGGTAGCTGGAACAGTAATGATGCAAGAAATGATAGCACGAACAGTGAGGCCAAGAATACATGTAGGCAAATAGGAATGCTTTGATTCTCTACCTAGTGCTCACACATCCTAGGGATTTGGTAGTTTTCTTAAAAGGTAAAATTACTTCAGGGGCGCCTGGGTGGGTGGCTCAGATGGTTAAGCATCTGCCTTTGGCCCAGGGTCCCGGGAGTAAGCCCCACACAGGGCTCCCTGCTAGGCGGGAAGCCTGCTTCTCCCTCTCCTTCTACTGTTCCTCCTGCTTGCGCTCTCTTGCTCTAATAAATAAATAAAATCTTAAAAAAAAAAAAGTAAAATTACTTCAATAACAACACGTCACTGATTTTGCTCTTAGTAGCGTGATTCCCCAAAATCAAATTATACTATACTTGGTAATCATTTACCTAAAATGCAATATACCTAAAATCCAAACCACTTTTTACCTTCTTCACCTCTATCATCCTGATCCAAGCAATAATGAAAATCAGATCTTGTTTACGTCAATAGGCATAAAACTCTCCAATGTCTTTGCAGCTGACGTCTTTTCAGCTGACTCCAAGCAAAAGCCCAAGTTCTACCAGTGACCTTCAAGGCCCTCCCTGATACAACCCTCTGCTAGCTCTCTGACCTCATTTCTTACTACTCTTCCTCTTGCTCCTCTACTCTAGCCACTGTGGCCTCCTTGCTGTTCTTCAAACACCTGAGGACTCTGCACCTGCTGCTCCCTCTCACCAGAAAGCTCTTCCCCAGATGTGCTCAGAAGATCCATCCCATCGCCTTACAGTTAGTGACAAGACTGTCAAATCCAGGTCTGACTCCAAATCTGCTTTTTGAACACCAAACCACACTGCCTCTTGGTAACCTCTCTTTAATCCAAGTAACTTTCACACACCAATGACATTTGTATTAATGTTTCCTAACACTCTGAAATTCCTAAGCTAAATGATACCATCTTGTACTTAAACTTTCAACAATTGTGAAAACCTGATAGCTTCTTACCTGTCTACTCAAATACATCTTCCAACCAAATTTCTAGCCTCTCCTCAGCAAGAAAACAGGTATATTATGGGTCAAAAAGCTAGTATAAATTATACTAGGATCCGGTTCATCAATTTATAAGTATTTTTAAACATATATTATGTAACAAAGACCTGCCAGACACTGGGGGTACAAAGATAAATAAAATGGAATCAAGTAAAAACTGATTTTCAAATAACCAACTTACAAATGACCTTTAAAAACACAAACCAACTGTTTAAGGAGAACCACTTATGTCATTCAGTTAAATAAACTAAGCAATTCACTTATTAGGCTATTATTTTGAAAAGTTACCAAAAACAGAACACAAACTGAACACTATGACACACAAATATAAGTCATAAAACACAATAACCAGCTTATTTTGAATAAACAATATACAGTATAATAAAACCAGAAAAAGTGAAATTAAAAATGCTTTGGGTTGTATTAACAACATCAGACTTGTGGCATGTTTTGAGAGTTCTATGGTTTCTGTGACAACAGTTGCTCAATGCTAGAGCAAAGGGACTAAAGAGAGGTATCGCAAAGGCAAGGACTTCAGTGCCAACATTTGAATGAAAGGGGCAAAAGGCCATTATTTAATGCAGACTCACATAAAATGAGTTACAGTCAAGCAACTTACAGTTCTCAAAAGAAACTCAATGAACTATGAACTATAATTGCACTGAAATCTTTACCAAGATAATGGTGAAGGAAGTACCTTGATAATCCAAAACTGGGAAAAACTCCTTTTTAAGGCATTAAAATTGTTTAAAACTTAGCTCTTAGAAAATGAATTTCCAAATCTTTAAAGTTTTTGGTTTTTTAAAAATGCTAGTCAACAAGTTAACTTGTTGTTAAGGTTAAAAGCAAAAGCAAACTGCTCACACTGATCTAATTGCTGAAGGCATGTAGCTCTGGGTATCTCAATTTGATTCCACTTCCCATTTTCTTCTAGCCACAGCTAATTCTCAATCACAGATGATAAACAAGAGTACAAACCCTTCTCCCTTCCTAAACTACCTAGCACTGCTAAAGCTTGTTTGGAGCACAGCTATCGTATACCCTTACCACATAACCATGCAGAACAGGTAACACTGCATTTATGCTAACTCTCTCTGTTCTCAATGCTCTGAACAAAGCTATCAATGGTCAGCTACTTCAAAGTCAGCTATCAAACCCTTCACTATATTATACATCCCTAGATCTACCCCCTCCTCTAGAGGAAGACCTGATGCCTTGAACCCAGAGACTTGTCACTTCTCAACTATATAACCCTGAGCAAGTGAATCTCTTTGGTCTCAGCTTCCTTGTGAGTAAAATGCAAATACCCACCTCAGTTGTTATAAGAATTATGGTAGGAGTCATTTCACATAACACATCTGAGTGCCTACCACATCACAGGCACTACACGGAGAATGTGGTAAAAAAGACACACAAAACCCCTGCCACCTTGTCAGCTTACAGTGGGGCTCAATTTAGATAGGGTGGTCCAAGAAAGTAAGTTTCTCTGAGGTGACATGTCAGCTGAAATCTCAAATGATGAGCATCTCCAAGCAAAATGAGATAGTACAAGAGAGTACGTTTTAAGCAAAAGGAATTGCAAGTCCATAGGCCCTCCACAAGGACTGAGCCTGATACATTTCAAGTGACATAAAAAAAAAAAAAAGTGCTGGGGCACCTGGGTGGCTTAGTTGGTTAGGCCTCTGCCTTCAACTCATGGGGTCCTGGGATCAAGTCCCAGATCAGACTCTGCTCAGCAGGCAGTCTGCTTCTCCCTCTGCCCCTCACCCTGCTTGTGCTCACGTGCACACTCTCTGTCTCAAATAAATAAATAAAATCTTAAAAAAAAAAAAGTGTGGCTAGAACCTAGAGAGCAAAGAAGCTACAAGATGCCTACCCTCGAGGGCCCCATCTTGTACCTTACATTACTTATCTTCATTATAGCCCTTTCAAATAGGTCCTACTTAGTCTCACTTCACAGATAGGAAATCTGATCCCGAGTGACATCAGGAATTTTCCTGAGGTTACAGAGTTATTATGAAAAGACGATTTGGACCCAAGCACTCTGATTCCAGAGGGTTTTTTGTTTGTTTGTTTTTTAAGTAAACTCTACCCTCAACATGGGGCTCAAACTCACAACCCCAAGATCAAGAGTTTCATGTTCTACCGAATGACCCAGCCAGGTACCCCCACAGCCTATGCTCTTAACCACTATTCATACTGGGCCTCAAAAAATTCTCGTAATTCACACGTCTTTTCTACCTAGTGAAATGAGACATCCTCTGTAAAGTTTTTCTGACTACCCTGGTTAGCCTCTACTCTGCTGTGTTCTTAGTGTACTTTATACACCACTCCATTAGAATATTTACCTTATATTTTAATAATCTGTTGACTTGTCTGTCTCTCCACTAGACTGCAAACTTCCTCAATGCAGTCTTTTCATCTTTAGATCCCTGGCTCTCAGTACAAAATTCACCACTAATATGTACTATTATATGCTGAATGAATAAAAAATGTGCATCAGCTTGATACAAACATTTCCCCTTTAATCCTGATGGTCTTACATAAAAATGTAACTTTTTAAGTGATGTATCATCAAGTGTCCTGAATTTCAAAATGACTAGTTGACTCTTGAACAATGACCTGTGTTAGAGGCACTGACCCTCCCTGTCAAAAATCCAAGTTTAATTTTTGACTCCCCAGAAACTTAACAGCCTTCTATTGACCGGAAGCCTTCCCAATAACATAAACAGTCAACTAACACATATTTTGTATGCTATAGGTATTATATACTATATTCTTACAATAAAGCTATAGAAAATTAGGAAGCCGTAAGAAAAACACATTTACAGTACTGCACATATTAGAAAATATCCATATGTAAGTGGGCCAATGCAGTTCAAACCCACGTTGTTCAAGGGTCAACTGTGAGGTCACCTCAAGCTTTAAAAAGAACACTTTCTCAGGGAGCCTGTGTGGCCCAGTCAGTTAAGTATCCAACTCTTGATTTTGGCTCAGATCATGATCCTGGGGGTCGTGGGATCTAGCCCCACATCAGGCTCCATGCTGAGCATGGAGCCTGCTTAAGATTCTCCCTCTCCCCTCCACTCTCTCTGTTTCTCTCAAATAAATAATTAAAAATTAAAAAACACTTTCTCTTAACACAGCTGGTTCTTATCATGATCATTACCCCCACTCCCAGTTTCTGATTCAAGCAGGTGGTGGGTCCTGAAAATTTGCATTTCTAACAAGTTCTCAGGCGATGCTGCTGTAGTTGGTCTCAGGATGATACTTTTGAGAATTAGTTTTCTACAGCACTAGACTAAGAGTCTGGAAACTTGTGTCCTGAGGGTCCCATTCTGCCTCTAATTGGCTATATACATCTCTATGACAGATCATTTTGATTTCTTTGGGTCTCCGTTTTCTTCTGTAAAATGGAAGGGTAAGTACTACACCATATGAGCAGTAAGGGCTTCAAATAATCTCAGATGGAGTCCAACAATTTGCATTTCTAATTAATTCCCAGGTGGTGCTGATGCCGCTGGTTCAAAAGCCACACTTTAAGAATCAAGGTATTAAAGCTAACCACATGCCTATTCTATGCAATTTCATTCCCAGGTATGTACACCCCCCAAAAAAGGAGTGCATGTGTTCACCAAAATACACATACAAAAAAATTTACAGTGGCTTTATTCATACTAGCTAATAACTGGAGATGAGCCAAAGTCCATTGTTAGAATTGTGCTCTATTTTTATACAATGAAATACTATATATCAATGAAAAAAATACCACCTCACACAACATGGACATATCTAAGATGAGAGCACCAAACTCAACTGGGTAACTAGTGCATTATTCTGTTTATAGGAAGTACAAGAACAAGCAAAACTGATGCTGACAGAGATACGAATGGGAGTTACCTGGAGGGTACGCGGAATTATTGGCTGAGAAGCAGCATGAGGGAATTGTGAGGATGAAAGTGTTCTCTATCTTGATCTGGGGGCTATACATATATAAAACAACTTCAGTAGTTGCAGACTTAATGTATATAGCATACATCAAAAAAAAATTTTTTTAAAAAGGGATGGAAAGGGACAACAAAATTCATTACAATAATTTCCTTTAAAAGCAACTCATATAAACTGGATTTCCGCAAGTGGCACTGGGGCTAAGAGGACTATAACAAATGTAGATTCTGATATTAATAGCTGTCTAGATGACATAATGAATTGTGAAGAAAGATGCTCAGTGCCCCCTGTAATACTATTCTAATACAAATCCCAGAAGACTCATTAGGAAACATCATAGTACAATTGACCAACCAACCATTTTATTTCAGGGCCTTCATATCTAGATCCAAAAAAACATACTCCAACTTAAAAAGCCCTATAGGACCTAGCCCCTGGTTTCCTTCCCACCTCCTCATCACTTATTCCTCAGTCATCCCACTCTAGTTACTTGGGCCTTTTTGCTGCTCCCTGTACAAGCCAACCTCATTCCTACCTCAGGATCTTTGCAATGGCTCTTTTCCTGCCTGGAATGCTCTTTCCCCAGAGCTCACTCCCTCAGGTCTCTGCTCAAGTATCACCCCTTCAGAGAGACTCTACTACCCACGTAGCAAATTTCTTTTAAGGTCCTAGCTAGCAAAAAACTTCTCTTGCCTCAAATCACTAACCTTACCTATGTCAGATTATAACAACCCAACAGGGTTTGGTTTCCTTCTTCCCTCCTGCTTCAAAGCAAAAAACCCCTGCTTAAATTTTGCAACGAACTACATCATGTATCCTTAGCTTGGGCTCTCTTTATTATTTTAAATTATTTAACTCTTGCTCTTTTGACTTTTCTTTTTGGCTTTATAGTCTTTCACTTCACACAAAGTGCCTTGTAAGTCAGTTAAATACATAAACAAGACTTTAATCCATAGCAATCAGTGTCTTGCATAAAGCAACTGCAAATAAATTGTTTTGATAAATAAATGAGTGAATTATGAACAGTAAGAGGACTTCTGGAGATATTCAGAGACATACGGGAAAAGGTTTTTGTTCCAGTAGTCTGCACTTAGCACAACATCTGTTATGTAAGAATGGCAAAAACCGAATTAGCAAACATCATCAAGCCTAGCTTTCACTTTTTCTTCTTGTCACACATGCTATTAAAAAAAAAAAAAAAATTCTTTCCGGGCCAACTATGAATGTTAACTACACCCCCCAGAAATAGAGAAAGTATTCCCAAGGAGCTAAGAGGATGCAATAACGGCCTAGGAGGGGGAGGGGGCAAGAACAAGGGTTTAGAGTAACTGGGCCGCCGTGGAACCAAGGAGAGACGGAAGCTGTCAGTATTAGGGCTGATACAGCATAAAAACAGCAACCCCGGTCCCAAGAAGGTAGAGCTGGGAAGAGGCGGGTCCGCTGGGACCCGTCGTGGCCGCGTTCCCCCCAAGAAAAGTGGAGGAAGCTGAGACTGGTTCTCTCACCTCTAACGCCGCCTGGGGGTCCTCCTCGATCAGAGCATCTGAGAAGCTCCGGAAAAACCTGCCAGGGAAAACGACATGCTCACTAACCAAGTGGGGGGTAGGTGCGAGGGGGAGATAAAAATAAATAGCAAGAATGAAAACACGCACTTCTGGACTGTTGCAGGTCCTGCTGCAGCTGCCGCCATCCCTAAAAATCGCTGTTGCTGTTAGAGCTGCTACCTCCGAGGTTATGAGCTACGCCGCCGCCGCCCAAGGGGGAAACTTCTGGAGAAGCACCAACCGAGCTTCCGTCCTCGGTAGCCAACGAGCAGCCACGCAGCGTGTCGCGGGGCGGGGGAGGGGAGACGAAAAGCGTGCGCAGGGCCGGCTGGGACCGTGGAGGACTGAGTCTCCCGGCCGGCCCCAGTCCCGTGACCGGCGTTCTCAGTCCCCGCCCCTCGCAGCCATGGTTACGGAGGCGTGGGCTATTCACGCTTGCCCTGTCTTCCACTACGCCTCCGCACTCCAATAGAGCCTTAGGAGGTAGTAGTGCCAAAGCACTTTTGTAGCATACTGTTATTCCACAGGAACATGGGGCGTTTGGGAGAGTGTGGACGTCTATTAATAACAAGGCACGTCGGGCTCTATTTTCATCACCGTTCACCACAACTCTCATCATGGCTACCGGAGACAGCCAAGCCTTTTGAGACCCGTGACGTCGTTCGCCGATACGTGTTCTTTTCCGGGAGCATAGTTCCGGCTTGCGCGTAGATCCCGTGATCTATGCGCCGGGAATCCTAACGGACAAGGACTCGCAGGAAATCATTCTGCCTTTGCAGATGCTAGATTGAAGGAAGCCGTTTGGTTCCGATGCGGTTGTACTAGTCCATTACCCACAACTCCGCAGCCCCAGACTTTTCGTATTTGGCTTCTCCGATTGAGAAGAAAAGCTGTCACATCCGAAGGCACCGAAGGGAGGAAGGTGGCCTGAGGTTGTGTCAGTACTGTTTTACTTTTCCAACGTAGTCGGTCCTATTCTCCCTCGCCGCACTTTGACATAAGAAGATCAGATAGAAGCTTCCGGCAGGTTCCATGGAGGAGCGAGTGGGAGTTTCTCAGTCAGAGATTAACAAGTAAATGGACTTGAGTGTCTACTACATCCAAAATCTAAACTAACTGGGATTCAAAGTTGTTAATATGCCCTCCAGAAATTTAAACTAATTGTTTTGCATGCTGAAGTGAGAGGGGAATGACCCTATATAAGGTGTAAGGGCGGATTCCTCAAAGGTGTGATACCTGAGCCTCAGCTTCAAAAGCTAAATTAGTGGATGAAGGAAATGAAAAACACGATTTGGATAGTCTAGGACGTGTATTAGAAGAACAACAATGTGCGTTCTAAAATTGGTGGAGCCAGAATTCAAGTTAGACGCTCACTGGAGAGGTAGGTGAAATGCCAGGTCATAAAGGGCTAGCCAGTGGTCTTCGGAGAAGCTTGGTTGTGATTCTCGTACCGGTGCTAGCCCATTACAGAATTTCTAATTTAAAAAGGCAGTAACAGTCAAATTTGCATTTTTGAAAGTATGTTATTGTGTCTGTGCTATGGAACAATGATTAAAGGGAAAAGAACAGTTTTGGGGAGACTGTGTTGGGAGAGTGTTACAAGCCAAAGTGACTCTCTTAAGTAGTCAGTGATTGCAGGGATGGACAGAAAGTTAAGAACAGAAATATGTGAGGTAAAACTCGCTGGGTTTGCTGATCTTTCACGTTCAGTGCTTTTTGTGTCCTATTAATAAAGCTTCATCAACTCCAAGGCCATGATAGATAGTCTGTGTTTTCTTCTAGATGCTTTATTAATTTAACTTTGACATCTAGGTCTAGGATTTATCTCAATTTTTTGTGAAAGGGATAGAGGTTCATTTTCTCCCATATGGATATCCAGTTGACCCAGCCCTATTTATTTAAAAGACTATTGTTTGTCATTTCCCCCATTAAGTTTTTCTGGCACCTTTATTGTAAAGTGGATGACCATATATAGGTGGGCCTGTTTCCAGGTTCTCATTCCATTGGTCTGTTTGTCTAACCTTGTACCAGTACCACACTGTCATAATTAATGTAGCTTTATAGGAAGTCTTGAAGTCCTAGAACTGTTCAAGGTTGCCTTAGCTATTCTAAGTCCTTTGTAATTTCCATTATTTTAGACATCTTATAAAATTTATTTCCATTTATAAATTTTAGAATAAGCCTGTCAACTTAAAAAAAAAAAAAAACCCTGCTGGAATTTTATTTGGATTCGCATTGGCTCTATGGATCTGTTTGGGGAAAACTGGCATCTTAATTTTGAGTTCTCCAACCCGTAAATATCATTCATACACCTTCCATTTATTTAAATGGTCTTTAATTTCCTTCAGCAGTGTTTTGTAAATTGCAGTGTAGTGGTTTCACGTATCTTTCATTAGACTTATACTTGGGTATTTGGCTTTTTAGTACTATTTTAAATAACATTTTAAAAACTTATATTCAGGTCATGATCCTGGAGTCCTGGGATCGAGTTCCGCATCGGGCTCCCTGCTCGGCGGGGAGTCTGCTTCTCCCTCTGACCCTCCCCCCTCTCATGCTCTCTCTCTCTATCTCATTCTCTCTCTCAAATAAATAAATAAAAAACCTTTAAAAAAAAGTTATATTCTACTTTGTTGCTGATATATAGAAACAGTATTGATTTCTACATATTGACCTCATATTCAGCTTTCTTACCAAGTTCTCTTATTATTTCTAATACCTTGTAGTTTCTTTTAGAATTTCTATGATTACAATTTTGTCATCTGTTAATAAAGATGGTTTAATGTTCTGTGCAATGATTATACCTTTTATTTCTTTATCTTGGTCTTTTTCTGGCTAGTATGTCTCATTTAGTGTTGACTAGAGTAGTGATAATGGGCTTCTTAGCTATAACATCAGAGGGAGAGCATTCAATAGCAAATGCTTTTTCTGCCTTTATTGAAATGTTCATATCTATTTTTTCTTTAATATGTTAAGTCAGTTACTTTGGTTGATCTTCAAACGTTATTTAAATGGCCAATATACGTATGAAAAGAAGTTCTACATCAATAGCTATATTAAAATCATGCTTCAGTCCTCAACACTCACCAGAATTGTTTAAAAGGAATTCCAATACCAAGGCTTGGCAAAGTGGAGCACCTATAACTTGTGTATATTGCTAGTAGGAGTATAAACTGGTGTAATTACCTTAGAAAACTTTCTAAGATTTTTTTTAAGTAATCTCTACAGCTGAGGTGGGGCTTGAACTTACAACCTGAAGATCAGGAGTCGCATGCTTCACTGACTGAGCCAGCCAGGCACCCCTAGAAAATTTTTTGACCCTATCTACTAAAGCTAGTCCCATATATACCCTATTACCCAATAATTCTACCACTGGGCATATCCCCAAGAGAAAAGAGTACTTATGTTTGTTTGCAAGAATATTGATTACAGCATTATTCACAGTAGGAAAAACTGGAAATGTCCTTTGATAGGAGAAAAAAACTATAGAGCAATTAAGAATGAACTACCAAAACACACGACAATATGTATGTACCTCACATACATAATGTTGAGTTAAGCCAGACAGGGTACATCCTGATCGATTCCACTTATATGAAGATAAAAAACTATTTTGAGGGATACCAGAAAGTGATCTAGTTGGGAAGATCTGTGAGGGAAACTTCTTGGATGCAGGAAATGTCACACATCTTGATTTAGGTGGCAGTTACATCAATATATTCAGATGCAAAATTTTATTGAGTTATACACATAAGATTTGTGCCTTTCATGCCTCAATAAATAGGGAAAGATTTAAAACAAAAACAATTTGAAATTTATGACATTTACAATAGCATCAAAAATATTAAATACTAAAAAATAAATCTGACAAAGAATGTGCACAAAGTATATATTGAGAATTATGAAACTTTGCTGAGAGAAATTAAAGAACACTTAAACAAATGGAGAGGCATCTATGGAGACTCAATATTGTTAAAATGTCGGTTCTTCCAAAGTTGATCTATAGATTCAACATGATCCCAATCAAAACCCCAAAGGCTTTTTCGGTTTCAGAAGTTGACATACTGAGTCTGCAAATTCAAATGGAAATGCAAAGTTAGAATAGTCAAATCAACTTTGAAAAATAAATGTGGAGAGCTAACACTACCTGATTTCAGCACATCAACCTTGTGTACTGGCACAAAGATAGACAAATTAATAGAACAGAATAGAGTCCATAAATACACCTGTACATACGTAAACCACTAATTTTCAACAAAGGTCCAAAGGTAATTCAGGGTGGATAGTTGAAAGGATAGTTGGGGCGCCTGGGTGGCTCAGTCCATTAAGGGTCTGCCTTGGGCTTAGGTCATAATCCTGGGGTCCTGGATTGGAGCCCAGCGTCAGCCTCCCTGCGCACTGGGGAGTCTGCTGCTCCCTCTCCCTCTGCCCCTCCCTCCACTCATGCTTCCGTATGCGTGTGCTCTCTCTCTAATAAATAACTAAATCTTAAAAAAGAAGTAGTTCAAAATGGATCATGGACCTAAATGTAAAACTTAAAAGTTTAAAATTTCTAGGGACGCCTCGGTGGCTCAGTCGGTTGAGCGCCCAGCTCTTGGTTTCTGCTTGGGTCATGGATCTTGGGGTTGTGAACGCAAGCCCTGTGCCAGGCTCTGCACTCAGCGGGGAGTCTGCTTGTGATTCTCTCCCTCTTCCTCTGCCCCTACCCCCACTCACGTATGCACTCTCTCTCTCTCTAAAATCTAAAAAAAAAACAACAACAACTTTAAAACTCTAGAAGGAAGAAAATCTTAGTGACCTTGGATTAGGCAAAGATTTCTTAGATGTGACACTAAAAGCATTTCCTTAAGGGGAAATTGATAAATTGGACTTTACCAAAATTAAAAGGTTTCTGCACTTTAAAAATAGTTGGGAATCATACAGCTGATAAAGAGCTTGCATCCAGAATATATAAAGAGTTCTCAAAACCCAGTAATAAAAAAACAACAGAATTTTTAACAGGCAAAAAAAAATTTTTTTTTAAAGATTTTATTTATTCATTTGAGACACAGAGATACAGAGAGAGAAAGCATGAGGAGGGAGAGAGGCAGAGGGAGAAGCAGGCTCCCCGCTGAGCCAGGAGCCCGATGTGGGGCTCGATCCCATGACCCTGGGATCATGACCTGAGCCGAAGGCAGACGCTTAACCATCTGAGCCACCCAGGCACCCCACAGGCAAAAAATTTTAACAATCATTT